TGAAAACTTAAAGGTTCCTCCGCAAGATTCGTCCAGAAGGTAAGTCAAAGCCTAAGATTAGGCCGAAAGGCGTAGTCGATGGACAATACTATCCCTTGTTGGTCCCGAGGGATGGAGGAGACTATGTTAGCCGTCAGTTCGAGAATAAGTTTATAACTCAACCAACCCAAACCTAAAGATATCTAAATTTTTTATAATTTAATATTATCTCAAAAATAATCTCTATATTAAATGTTATTTATAATTTTTTTATCGAAACGAATTTTAATTTTTAAAATGATAGGAAGCTAAAATTTAGTTTTATTTGTACCAAACTTATAAATTAACATATTATTAAAATTAATATTATTAGTTAAATAAAATAAATATTGAATATAAAAATAAAATATTAAAAAAAAAAAAAAATCTTCGGGTCACTAACATTAAATAATACTTCTCTTCATTTAAAAGAACCCAAGCCGTACTCGTCATGATTGGACAGTACTATTCATCAACTTAATGCAATATATATATATATATATATTATTATATTTTAAAAATATTAATTTATATATATATATTTTTTTTTCATTACTAATTTATTTTAATCCCAAAAAAGCGCATTTAATAATTTAATTTTGATTTTAAAAAATGAAGAGAAAAATAAAGGAGAGAAAATATGAACATTACATATCATATCATATGGGCAACCTGTAAATGAATAGTGGAGCATTAAACTTTAACAAACATGAAAAGGACCCCTCGAACCCTAATATGTAGGTTTATTAAAGACCCACGTTGTAGCCCACTCGGGTCTACCTCGATGATTAGTTACTTGTTGTTATCGTTCTAAAAATTTGATGGTTTTATGTCCCGCACATCATAGTTAACCTAAAGAAAAGACTCGAGAGACTTACTTTATTTGTATCATATCTCTCTTTCTACTCTATTGTTGTGTTTTTAAAGTGTAAGGTCGTAATCATACGAACTGTGTGTGTTTCGACTTGTTTTGATTCAGTGAATGTCAACATATTTCAAATGATGGTTCGAATTCGTAGTCATATCATTTCATGTCTGTAGTGGAGTGATGTATAGTTTATGAATGAAAATTAACTATTTAAAGAGTTTAATTAATTAATTTTGTATCCCTGGAGCTTATAATTTTGTGAAGGAAACAGGATTTGAAACTGCTTGAACGGAAGTTCGGACTGAAACTCGGGTTGGTGAGAATTTCAAATTTTTGGACTTTTTAGAATTTCTTTTTTTCTAGGAGCAATTCTAAAGTTTTAATTGGGGAATAATTTGGGAACGTTGTGTGTAAAATGGAGAAATTCTCCCTCTAAATATAATATTATTTTTTTAAATTTACCACTTAAGACACAAAGTTGAGATGGCCGAGTTGGTCTAAGGCGCCAGATTAAGGTTCTGGTCCGAAAGGGCGTGGGTTCAAATCCCACTCTCAACATTATTTTCAGTTTTTTTCTTTAGACGAAAATGGCGGGAAGGCTGACCGGTCTTAAACTCAATTTTTTTAACGAAAAAAACATATCTAATAAAAATATTAATAAAACAAAAAAACAAAAAAATAAAAATTAATAATAATAATACTAATCAATTATAAATAATATATATAAATTCCTATTTTTTTCCTTACGATCCTAAGAAATTTCCTATTATTTTTCTTGGGTCAGTAGAATGCAGCTATTTTGAGTTGCTATGGTAAGAATGTCGAATTAGTTTAATTTATATTGGAGGACTCAATTGTTTTAATAGAGGTACTTACGTTTTGAACGAACACGTCAATTCGTGCACCCAAGCTCTGCTGAGAATTAAATATTTGATTTTTCTTTAAGTTTTAAGTTCTAAAATTTGATTCGGGGTTTTAGAGGCCGAATATCATGATGAGGTAGAGAGTTTTGTGAGTGACTAAACCTGAGATTGTGAAGAATAAAAGAAAAAAAAGAAGGAATAAAACGAGAAAAGGAATTAGGGTTTGAGAGACCGAAAGAAGGAGAAACAATCATCTACGTTCTTGCAAATTCAGACTCTAAATTTGGCCAAAGTTCCCTTATAAGAATGGCTTAAGGGCTATAGGAGAAATAAATGAACATTTGGATCATCCTAATTTGACAAGAATTAAGGAAGACCGAGCGATAAGTATTTCAAGATTTAGCCTCGATTTTTCCTCATTTACGTAAGATTTCATTTTAATATGTTGTTTTAGAAAATATTTCACACAATGTCGATAGCTTGCAAAACAAAGTTCTTCTGCTCGCATAAAAACTTATAAACCCATAATCATTCTCGGTTCGTAACTTTTTTGTTCAACATTTGAGAATTCAATTGTCATAGCTAAGTTAAGGGCATGACTCTAACACCATATTAGTAATAACAACTCTTCACAACAGTATGATATTGTACACTTTGAACATGATATCTCATAGCTTACCTTCAGACTTCCACAAAAGACCTCGTACCAATGAATATCTATTCCTTACTTATAAACCTATTACCATTCCCTAAATTAATCAATGTAGAACTTCCTCCTAACCGTTCTCAACATTTACGAGACGCTATTATTTAAGAGTTTGGGCATGAGTTTTTGTTCGTTTCTAGTAGGATTATATGTATGAATCTCGGTTAGAATTCATACGTAATCCGATCCAAAATTAAAACTTTGAACAAAAAAGAGAACAACATTAGAAGCTGTTGCACATTGAAGATGTTTTTGGGTACTTAACCAACATAGAATTATGCGGGAAAAAACACTCAACCATACATCACTCTCATCCTCCTCTTAACTCATAAGAAACAGAGAAATCTAACCATCCTACAACAACTGAACAACCACTTTGCTACAACAAGAACAATAACAACACGAAAATTAACGAAGGGAAGACGATGACATCGACATGACTATAAATAAAGTGCTCCTCAATGAAGAGAAAAATAATTTCAAATATAACAATTTTATTTTCAAAATAAAAGAAGTATTAAAAAGAAAGAGAAAAATAATAGAAGTCTTCATATGATCAGAGAACCTACCAATTCCGATTATATAATCAAAACTAGAAAAATTGGGTTTTGTTAGACATAAAATTCTGGTCACGTTCCTGAGTTGATTTTTTTTTTGTCACCCAACTAACTCAAAAATAGGATTACAACCCAAGCTTACTTTTAAGATTATTACTAAGATTAATATTATTTGATAATTTGTAAGTTAGTGTTGTGTTGCGACTGATAAATGTTCAATATTTGAGTTTTATGAGATTTTAATCATTAATGTAGAATGTATGGTAGATAAATAATATTTTTTTAATTATGAATTTTTTAAATAATGAAAAAAATAATCTGAGGATTCGATTCAATCCAACCTGAAAATAGAGGGTTTGAGATCACCAACCGAACCAATTCAAAATTTTTGGTTGATCCAAAAGATATTTCCAACTCCAAAATAATTCAAGTAAAAAAATAATCAAACTTTGAAGTTTTTATATAACACTTCAAACATTTACTTGAAACTCATTGAAACTGAAATGAAACGTTAACTAATCATTGTAAATCCAACATCTAACAATAAATTTTGACTTCTTATAGCAAAATTTAAAGACCCAACAATTTTAACATATAGCAGAAAACATTATTGAATGCTGAAAAAGTATTTAAATAAGAACATTGTTCCATCGCCCACATAGCAAAAGTAGAAACTCGTTGCCTTTGCTTAAAAATAATATTAAGAAAAAAATGAGTATATTATTACTCCATAAGTGGCTCAAAAATACAAACGCATCAAAGTAATTGTGGCTTAAATTGATGACGGGTGTAGAACTCTACTTTCAATTTTCGGATATGTTTAGATGCATAGTGCATTTTCTACACATGGTTCGTACACATGCACATGGACCCATTAGGTAAACTTGTCAGTGTACCCATATTCTTGACTATCAACTAGCATACGCTTTGACAACCGAATAATGTGTGACAAAGTTCGTTGAGAGTAAGGTGTGGTCGTTGGGTTCTCGTGAATTTTTGCAACTCACCAAAAACGAGACATCTAAGTCATACAAGTATTGAGATATATTCATTGATAAGAAAAATAGAAAATGTAGAATTCGAGTCCGTGATTATTAATTTATTGGTTCGGTTGTATGAGTATATTTTCTTCTTAATTTATTCCTCATTTTTGTTTAAAAAGTACACATTTATTAGTGGGAGTAAAAATTAATGTTAGAATTTGGTACTCATTACAAAATTTTATAAAGTCTATGACTCAATCACTAAACTTTAATTTCCAAATTAATAATTTAACCATAATAATTTCACACTAAAAAAAGTAAACTAAACGTACATCCTTTGCTCGTGGTATTTAATGATTTACTTGCTAAAATAAATTATTGTAGGTAACATAAGGTAGAAATTCCCTGGTTTGCTGAATTTGTGGAATATTAATCATCACAGTTAATAAAAACTTTTTAGATCTTTTTGGCATAGATATGTAATATTGTTTATTATTTTCTAAAGTAAAACTTAGAAACAAATAGAGTTCAATCTAATACAACAAACAATTTTGATGATGAAAACCAGGTATATTTTCTTAGAAATGAATTAATGAATTTCATTTTTTTTTAAGAAAATATTTAAATTTCTAGTTATACGGTAAAAACAAAAATAAAATTGTTCAAAACTTGAATGGATTAAGTAGATAACAAAATAAGAAAATTCATCGACTTAATTTTTAAAAGTAAAACATAAAAAAACAAATAGTTATCAAATGAACGAAATTTGAAAAACAAATAGGTGAAATGAAAGTCCTCCTATTTTACCCGTTTTAGTAGGTGATTTGTGTGCCATTCCAAGTTGAACAAACTCGTGTGGTTGTGAATTGAGAAAAAGAAGCAAATTCAAAGAACTCTCCTCCCAAACTTAGGTGAGGAGGAGTCCTACCTCAATTAATAATTAAGAGGAAGTTTATGAGTTTATAAATAAGAAATGTTAACTCAATTGATACGAAATTTTATGAGAAAACCAAAAAGCAAAACTAGGAGAGCTTATCTTCAAAATAGATAATAACATATTATTGTGGAAGTTCGTAGTTCATACCACTGCCATCATGGTTATTTATGGGATACACAATGCAACCCCACTGCTGCAGCATCAATGGGATATTTAGCACATCCATGATTGGGTGGTTGAATGACCTGTGCAAACTGATGAGATTCAGATCGAATATAGTCTCTTTTGCAGAGCATTCAAAATAGGTAAATAAGTAAACCTGATATAAAGCATGATCTCTGAACTTCTCCATTTATTGCACATATTACCTTGTTTCTAACAATGAAACTACTAGATATGATTTCAAATGCTAACCCACCTAAGACATTCAGTAAACGAATGAACAAAAGAGGGATTTCTATCAGGCAATCTATTGCAAAACTAGTAACATAATTAAAATGGTTTTTTATGCAAATTTCGTAGAACTTTTCAGAGCTAAGAGGTAAAAATTAAATTAACATAAAAAGTTAGAAGTTGGAGAAACTTAAATGAAATAGTTAATAGAAATTGATGAGGTACAGTTTCAAATGAGGAGATGGTTTCTACCTGAATTATTATTTAGCTTATAGGATTCTCCTATCTCTGAAATATGAGTACACGAGAAAGAATGCCACAACCGAACCCACAATAATCCCAGCTGTTGTTAACCAGAAGGCAAACTGCACGCATCGTGACAAGGGGGCATCAATGTTACAATACGTAATAGAATTAAGACAATTGGTCATGTTGCATGAACTTCAATATTGTTTAGAAACTGGCTTTTAAAGAATGTACCACGTGTTCTTCAAGGTAAGATCGTAAGTTCATGCCAAATATTCCTGCAAAATGGATGTGAAAAACAATGGCTAAAGTACAATTGGAAGAGAAATTCTTTTGTCGAAGTTATTCCATGCAGCTAGTTCTGTAAATTACCTTTTTTCTCTTTCTGTATATTATTCTTTTTTGCCTGCCTATTACCATTGTGATTCTTCTTTTGGGTTATGTTACCAAGGTTTGGATTGATTTGTTAGGAATAAGACTCTCCTCAATGATATGATATTGTCAATTTGAGCATAACCTCTCATGGCTTTGCTTCGAAATTCCCCAAAAGGTCTCATACCAATAAAGATATATTCCTTACTTATAAACTCATGATCATTCTCTAAATTAGCTAACGTGGGACTCCCTCCCAACAATCTTCAACCTGATTTTCGCTTCCAGAAAATGAGAACCATTTAGATCTCTTCAACTCAATATTCCTCACCTGTTTTTTCTCTTGAAGGTTACCTTCGGTTCATAAACGATTTCCTAATTGAATATGCAAGATAGTGTTTTTTTTCCCTTAAAGAGCATACCTGCAACTAAAGCACCAACAGCCACACAAAATGTCCCAACTTGAAGAAGCAATTCCACCCTGCTAACCTCAAGTCGCCGCGAGCTAATCCAAAATAGGGAACATAAACAGTTACGTGCCTACTAAAACATGCTTAACAAACTTTGATCATTATTTGAAGAACAGGAGAGAAGAAAAAACAAGACTTATTCTTCAAAGCTTCTCTTGATACAGAAATGGGGATATGATTAACCACACAAAATGTCTTCACTCACGGATATCATTTTTTTTTTCCAGAAAATAAAATAATTCATGGAAATTATGTTAATTAAGCTAAGTGACCTATATGTTACTGTCACGCTTTTGTGAATGTCTACACAGTCAAACCTATAATGACTCCCTTTTTCAACCTCAGTTTATTTCGATATGAATTCTAAAATATAACAAGAAACACACAAGCAGAGAACCAATTAAACAGGTAAATGTAAGGTAGTTTAGACCTCAAATTGACGGCAATTGAATCTTCCATTTCTTTTGCAGAATCCAGAAGCCTTTCAGCCTGACCATGACAAGATTCACATCTGCATATGGAAAAGGGAAAAAATTGCATCAGCTTGCACGATTCAGTCCACAAATTCGGGAATAAAATCATACATTGGTTGGCCTACTCAAGTAATAGGCAAGTAGTACCAAATTCGTGAATAAAATCATACATTGGTTGGCCTACTCAAGTAATAGGCAGGTAGTACCAAATACAACAATTAGTTTGAAGGTGTTTCAAGTTGCAGTAAAATAAAATCGGTCTCGAACTCATCTATCTTTAAAGTTCAAACTCTGGTGGAGAACAATCCATCTTTAAAGTTCAAACTCCTCTATCTCCCTGTTGCAAGAAGCTGAAAGATGAGAAAGAGTAGCCCATTTATTAATTTCCGGTTCTAGAATTTCTCCTCAAAAACAGATTCCAAGCCCAAGTCAATAATGGCTGCCTCCTTTCTCTGGGACAAATGAAATAAAGGATAGCGTGTTTGTAAGTTCTTTGGTTCCAGCCAAGTGTCTTTCCAAAGTAAAGTCTTCTTACCAAGCCCAAGGAACCCTTGGATGTGTGCAATGAGTAGCTCCCCAGTTTTTGGTTGCAATTGTTGGTGCCAAACTTGGATGCTATAATTTCCTCCAAATGGCTTCTTTTTCATGATAAAATCATCAAATCCATTTTGCTAAAAGAGAGAAACTTTTCTTATGAATATCAAAAACCTCCAGACCTCCATCTTCAATAAAGATTTGTATGGAAGACCATTTGATAAGGTGGCTGCACTTCTCAATACCGCTCCCCATCGAAAGTGTCTGTATAGTTTCTCTATTGATTTGGTAACTTATTCAGAGCAAAACACAAGGATAAATAGTAAATTAGTAAGAAAGTAGCTGTTTCTCCACTTTTTCAATAATAGGGGCCCAAAAGGCAGAGGTTCCGGGAATTTCCATTAAGCGGTAACCCCAAATAGTAGGTAGTCGGCCAACAATTAAGCTTAAAACCGAAGTATGAAGCAAGATGTGCAGCTTGCTGTAAATCTATTCCAATTCCCAAAAACTCTTAACTTTAAGCAATTAATATTCTGATCTGATGTATCCTCAAACTCATGAACAATTCGGAAGAGATTAACAAGATATGATTACTTTGGAGAGGATAAGAGAATTGTATCATCTGAAAATTGGAGATGGGTGAGATACCAATTGTGGGTATGAACCAATATGGAAGCCTTGTATCAGCCCTTTTTGTTCTGCCGTCAAAAGCATTCTGCTCATGCAATCAATCACAGGGATAAAACATAGAGTGATAATGGATCGCCTTGTCGAAGTCCTCTAGAAGCCTGAAACTTACCTCTAGGTTTGCCATTGATAATAATGGAGTAGTTAGCCAAACATATGCACCCCTAATACACTTTCTCCATAAAAAAACCAAAATCCTTAGATTTTAAATCAGCCGTATGACCATCTGGGACTGGGTTTCTTTTTTTTCTTTTTTTTTTGTGCCTAAATCAGTCACAGCTTTGTAGACTTTTATCTCGGTAAAGCTCGTCGGAAATTGGACTCCAATCAATCCCTTCAGAGAAAGTTTGAACACCAGCCTTTTTAGTAAATAAATTCTGAAAGAAATCAATAAACTCGCTCTCGATTTCATTATCCAAAGCCAAACTTAATAGAAGGAAAAATACCATTATTGGCTGAAATAGATGAAAGGTCTGCTTTAATCTCTAACCTTCTCTTCAAATAAGCTTCCGTCAATTGAGCATTTTCCTCCTTTAAATCAATGTCCATGAGCTCACTTTGAAGTTTAATTTTCAGTTCCTTCTGGTGACCAAAAGTGAGCTGGCACCACAACTTTAATTCTTTCTTAAGCCCCCTTAGTTTCTAAATAAAGTCGTGTCCTGGCCAGCCATGTAAAGAAGTTTCCAACCACCATTTTTCAACCATCCGCAAGAAGGAATGATAGTTTAGCCTAGAATTCATTAATAAGGAGAGGGGCCCCAAGATCCCTTACCCAAAGTGAGGAAAACAGGATATTGATCCGAAGTAATTCTTTCTACTCTGTCCAGTGGCCCTTTTTAATTTATTGATGATAGAAGCATAGATCAAAAAAATCTGTAAATCAGTATCATGGTGGAAATTTCACGAAAGTTTGACCATGTGAACTTGACATATCTGAGAGAGATATATGTGAGCTCGGACACTTCAAATATAGGAATTTCTCGTTCAGGGGAGAAATACTACAAAATGACCGTACCGGTCGAATTCTTAAGTTGAAGTTTTATATGAGAACAGCAATCAATCAAAGGAACCAAGACCAGAGAGTTGATTCTACACAAAATCATTTTGAAATTATGATGCTAGAAATCTCTCTGCTGATCTCGATGATGAAAGGACTGGTAATTCTTCTTTTATCCTGATCATCTGAATGTTCAAAATATCTGGCCTATTATTTCTAATCCTATTGCTATTAAGAAAGATACTAGAACTTGTACTAAATATCCCACACCAAATTACATCGCATTTGAAAATTTGTCAAATAGTTATAAAGCTTTCATATCTAGGATAGTACACACATTTGAATATGTTTCAAAGAATACACAAGAAGTCCTAAATGATCCAAATTGGAAACTAGAAATCATGGAGTAAATGAATACTCTAAGACAAATTGGTTCTTGGAAAATAACAAACTTACCAAAGGATATGAAGGCCATGGGATGCAAATGGGTGTTAAAACTCACAGCAGTGTTGAAAGATTCAAGCCTAGAATAGTAGCTAAAGGCTCTACTCAAATTTATGAAATTGATTATCAAGAGATTTTTGCTCCCACCGCAAAAATCAACTCCATCTTGTCTTGTAGCTAATTTAGATTGGCATCTTCATCAACTAGATGTTAAGAATGCTTTTCTCATTGGTGATTTCGATGAAGAGGTGTTTATAAGTTTACACCAAGATTTGAAATGGAACTTTGAAATTGCTAAATTTACATATGGAAGAAATCATCATATGGCCTCAAACAGTCTCCAAGAGCTTGGTTTGAACGCTTAGAAAAAGCGATCACGATACCTCTAATGTGAAGTAGGCCATACAATCTTCTATAAACACCCTAAGAACAATAAAAATGCTATTTTGATTGTTTAAGTTGAAGACATTCTCAGAAGTAATCATGAAGGAGGTTTGATTGATCTTAAGAACAAAAAAAAGAGTTGCAAGGGAGTTTCAGATCAAAGACTTGGATGTCTTAAAAATAATTTTTAGGGATAAAGTTTGCAAGATCTAAGAAAGGTATTTTTGTTAATCAAAAGAAATATGTTCTTGACTTACTTCAAACACAAGTTTACTTGGTCGACAGACAACAGAAACTCTCATTGAACCAAATATGAAGTTACAAACTGCCAATACTGAAGAAGGACAAAGACGATTCCAAAGACTATCAAGTTTTATCATATAAAAAGAAAAAAAAAATGAAAAGACTACAAATTGTATGAAAAAATTTGAAGCTAGTTCTCTAGAAGTGTGTAATCTGGCTTATCGAATATCAAAATTACCTCAGGAGATAATTTTCCAACAGCATTTCTATTTCTTCTTCCTCTTCTGCAGATAAAAAGTTCAATAAATATCACAAAAAAGAGTTGAACACTGAAATCAAAGCTGATGATAATCGTGAATGTGATAATTGAATGTGTGTGACTTACCATCTGCAATCTGCTTATCCAGCGGAACAGAGCACTCCACAACATCACTTCTCTTATTAAGAGTGCAATTTCTTCCCATAATACAGATACGTCGTATTTCTTGTGGATCCTCCAGAAGATCAAGAAGCATTTGTCTGAGAGCCCCTGCCCTGGAACCTAATTCAACCTTACGTCCCAATATGGAATAGAAGGTAATCAGATTGAAACTACTCATTTTTGGATATCACAGCGAGATATACTTTGAACTACTCTATCAGAATAAATTCAAAAAACTATACCAAAGTTTGCTTGCTAATACGAAGTTGTTCCAACCCAGTAGCAGTTAATTTGTTGGGCAATACCTCAAGCAGATCTCGAACCTGAAACCAAACGCACTTTATAAATAAGTTTTCCTTTTCTTTTTTTTTTTTTTAGTTCGCAAAACAATGTTCATCACTACAGTTGTGAAAGATTGGAAATAATAAAGGGTAACACTTCTTTAAGTTTATATTCCATGAATCCATTATTAATTGAAGTATGGTAATTTTTAATTATTATGTTAATCATTTTATAATTAAAATACCATCGGAACGATCAGAGTGTTCTAAAAGAAAGAACTCCTCAGCATTGAAATTAATACCCATTAAACATAGAACCTAAGGCCTGAAGAAAGCACAAAAGGATTGCAAATTTTAAATTAAATAATAATCTCTTTTTTGTCCCACCGAATAAAAATTGAATATAATTCCAATCTCTAGGGTGGTGAAACCAATCAAGATGTATCTCATCTGATCCGATCTGATCTCAGACTCTTTCGTTCCAATCTATTTGATCCTTTGATCCTTTGGCCGCTGTTATTTATGTGGTATCTCAAGATTAAATGGAAGAAACAGAAAACGAAGTAATATTTATATATATACTCACTATGTTTCCATACTCACACGAGGTTCTACTTTCATTAGTCGCTTTTCAAAACGCTGTGTTCGTGAAAGCAATGCAGCTTCAACAACCTAGAAAAGTTAAGTAAAATAATATCTTTAATAAACTATAGTAATGCAACGCAAAAAAAAAAAAAAAAAACAATAAAAA